TTATGTGATGTGTTTCCTGAAACTGTTGTCCATCTTTTTTGGCAATGTCTCCACTCTAGTAAGTTTTGGAAAGACCTCACCCATTTTATTGTTGTTAAGATAGACTCTGACTTTGGTTTATATTGGAAAGATGTATTGTTTGGTATCCATAGCAATGAAAAGAAAAGACATATAAAATGATATGTCATTAACTTACTAATCATTTTAGGAAAATACCACATTCATAAGGCTAAATTTAGTAATGCAAAACCTTCATTCATTGCATTTGAAAAGGAAACCAAACAATATTTAAAAACTATTAGTGATTCAAACAATAAGAAAGCTGCTAAAACTCATGAGTTATGTACTTTGCTTAATATTTTCAAATGAAACTCCCACTGGCTGTTATGTTGTTATATATTAACGACTGTGTATTTGTGTTTTCATATTGCTTGTTTGTAATGTTTCCTAGAAATCAATAAAAAAAATGATTTAAAAAAATCGGGAGACGGGAGAAATTCCTACACACTGTAGCTTTAAATAAACTTTGCGTATGTTAAAATGCAGCTAAACTCGTGTGAGTGTGTGTAAATGATCTCTCTGTTTGNAAAAAAAAAAAAAAAAAAGACCTTGCCCGAGTTTGATGGCGAGACCTCCGGGTAGAACGGGTGTTCTTTTGTACCTTTCCGGACCGGAAACCGTATCAATCCTGGTTCCGGCTACCAATAGAATGCAGCATTACAATAGTAATCCTGCTTAGTATGAAAGGAACCTCATTTGGTGTATATGCTTGGCTGAGGAGCCAATGGTGTGAAGCTACCATCTGTGGGATTATGACTGAACACCTCTAAGCATACTTGCTGCAAAAAATGTACATAGGCAAAACTGGCAACTGTTTGCGTATCAGGATGTACCAACATATCAGTTACATAAACTTAACAAATCCACAGTACTTTATAATCACTTCAAACACCATGGAACCAATAATTATAAATACAAGGGGCTGGAGAGCGGTAGCAACTGGACTAAGCCAAAAAGGCAAAAAAATAGATAGAAAATGGATCAACAAATTACAAACCATGGACCCATTAGGTCTAAATGAAAAATATTTTTAGATAGGGTGGCATTAGGGGAAATAATTGCAAGTACAATTTCCTCACATTCATGAAAAAATACAACACACTGTACATGTAATTGCCCCTGTAAGTTCTTTATTGATTGTTGCCACCCTACAGAATAATTTGGATTACTGATCCCTTTCCTATGCCTCCTTAGTCCATTCCTACTACTTGTCCTGCTTCGGCCCAACAATAACATTGTTTTTCACTCCCTCATTCTACCACATGGTGTCCTCCTCCTCAGGCTGTTCTTGGACCGTCAGGGGCAGCCACCATGACAGTACTGACATCTAGTTTTCTGTGAGAAAAATCAATGATTCAGAGCATAAAAACAGTGCCTACAAATGTGCTGATTGTTCATGTACTCACCTGTACTGTATATCTTGCTCTTGAACGTACTTCTGGCCAATGATGAATATAACACACTTTAAGTCTATTAAAGCCAACTGAGTCCAGTCCCTATTTAGCTTTACATTATAATAAATTAGAATAGTTATATATATATATATATATATACATACATATACATATATATATATATATACACAGTACAGGCCAAAAGTTTGGACACACCTTCTCATTCAATGTGTTTTCTTTATTTTCATGACTATTTACATTGTAGATTCTCACTGAAGGCATCAAAACTATGAATGAACACGTGGAATTATGTACTTAACAAAAAAAGGTGAAATAACTGAAAACATGTTTTATATTCTAGTTTCTTCAAAATAGCCACCCTTTGCTCTGATTACTGCTTTGCACACTCTTGGCATTCTCTCGATGAGCTTCAAGAGGTAGTCACCTGAAA